TCTAGTATCGTAGCACACACACTTTCATAACCATTCTAAAAAATTCAAACAAATTCTCTGAAGGTCGTGTTAGACGATGCAAAATTCCGGCACACAGCCATGTTATGCAGAAAAGATCAATGTCCTCAGTCACAGATGAATCGTAGGCTGCATGCCTCAACTACTATTCTTCATTTTTACTTTGTTGCTACTACAGAGCTGGGCGTGGGCTATGCTCACATTGACCTCACCATTTGTCTGACAACTATTTGTAGATAACATATACGGCAAAAATTTCCTGGTGTAACAGTCGCTTAGTGGTTTGCTGTGGTTCCATATTGTATTCCTGCTAGTCAAAATCAAAGGTCCTACCTTTACAGCGATATCAAGTGGTGTCTCTTGATCGTTCGTTCTCAGCAACTGAGCGCCACGACTCAGCAAAAGTCTTACACAATCTTGATGCCCATGTCTACAATCATTAATATGGTTTTAATCCATTGAGTAGCAGCACTCTCCATTTGACGAGTAAAATCGTCTGGCGTTAAACAGAGTAAAATAATGAAGTAGGGCGCAATTGCCACTTGAAGGGTTAATTTGTCAGGGAAATAGAAAGCTATAATTTATGTTTTCGAAACAAAATAGAGAAGTAGTCGGGAAATTATTAGGTCTTAGCGTGATATAGGATGCGGAAATCTTAAGATACGTTTCTCAATGACATGAAGATGTTATTACCTGCAAGCATAAAACAAAGGAGTGCATCCTTTGTGGTCACATTTCGACATATCAGCTTTCCTTTCCAACAACAGAAGTACACTCTGAGGAATAAATAGTACATCACAAAATTAGACTAGGTGACGTCATACCACTTAGTACAACCCCAATTATACCAGCAGGCTCATCAGCCCTTGTATAATTGGAAATTTTAAAGTACAAGTCTGTTTAATATTAACCAGATTGCAACGGATCTACTGTACGTTCTCTTGCGTTGCTAAAATACATTTCTCGGCAACATCAATATATATCAACAAGCAATCGTTGGTAGGTAACTGCAAGCTTTTTCGTTGATCCCTTTACCAACGAAAGCTTGTTAATATCATCGGCACTACCTAGCTGGCATAGATAGTTCAAGATTATAACATCAATAACATACCGAAGTGTGCCCTGACAGACAGGCATTATGGAGAGCTGTTTGTCCTTGAGAATCCTGAAAAGGAAAAGTCTGAATCATTACCAGCACCACAAGAAAAGAAAATGCACAACACAACACAACACAACACAACACAAGCTAACACAACACAACACAACACAACACAAGGTAACACAACACAAGGCAGTACAACATAACACAACACAAGGCAACACAACACAACACAACACAACACAACACAACACAATGCAACACAATACAATGCAACACAATACAATACGAGGCAACACAACACATTAACAGAACACAACACAAGGCAGTACAATATAACACAACACAAGGCAGCACAACACTTGTAACACAACACAAGGCAACACAACACAATTAACACAAGGCAACACAACACTTGTAACACAACACAACACCCTAATGTTTCCAAATGAATAATACATATTAAAAATGTGATTAAATTTACTTCAATGTCCACATCAACAATATGTTTTAAAAGTTCTCCCAACAGTTCAGTTCTACCATTTGATGCCAGCCAGTGAACCTAGAGATGAAATATGTCAGCAAGGAAGTAAATGCACACCTCTCCAGTGTTTATCTAGAACTTACCGCAGTCATTCCCTCGTTGTTATGGATGTGAATATTTGCCTTACATTCCAACAGCTTCTGAATACATTTTGTATGCCTGCAATATTTATGCAAGAACAAAGTTTTATTTAAAATGACATACAAATTTCTACTCTGAGGGAATTCAGCTCAGTGGCACTGTCTGTTTTAGAAGGGTGACCAGAGGCACACACCCGTAATTTGGTGGAAGGGGATGGGTGGAAGGGGATGGGTGGAAGGGGATGGGTGGAAGGGGATGGGTGGAAGGGGATGGGTGGAAGGGGATGGGTGGAAGGGGATGGGTGGAAGGGGATGGGTGGAAGGGCCCGGGGTGGGTGGAAGAGGGAGGTGAGTGGAAGAGGGAGGTGGATGGAAGAGGGAGGTGGGTGAAAGAGGGAGGTGGGTGAAAAGGGGGGTGAAAGAGGGGGTTGGAGGGTGGTGTGACTTTCTACTTGCTTTACATACCCATTTCTAGCAGCAAGTTGTAAAGGTGTTACTCCACCTATATCTTGACAATTGACATCCGCTCCTTTCCTCAATAAGTATGCCAGACAATCATACGCACCAACACTGGAGGATAAAACACAATATTATACAGTAGTTTAGGTACCATACAGCAGGTGGTGGTTGACCTGTGCAGTTATCATGGTGAGAAAATAATGTAGTAGTAATCAGTTTCATTACATGTAGTAGTCTAAGTTATATTTGGTGGAAAATAAATAGTTAATTAGTTAATCAGATTGCTCCTATACGTGTGAACAGCTCTGGGGTCACTGTTTTGGTTTGTGTATTTCTGCACATCTGTTTATTTCAAAACTTCTGAAATTAAAGTAAATTCCTATTGATCCAGACAAGATCTCTGAAGAAATATTTCCAAATTTATAGACATTCAAGCTGTCAGGAAGTTAGCTTTGAATTTTAGGCAACCTAGGGTTAAGCTATTATCAGCTTTCAAACACCAGCCCCTGAAATAGCACTTACTTTGCAGCAACATGCAGAAGACTTCTTTTTGCTCTTCCTGCTTTGTGACTGACATCATAAGATGAAGAGGAAATCAATTCAGAAACAGCTCTAGAGAAGACAAGTTGTTAAGATTTGAAACACTGGCTGGTACATGCATATCCATGTCTCCCATACATTCTTATTCAACACATGTCCTGATTTTTTGTGTGTGTTGGTGTTATGTACTCAGGTGAATATATGATGTTTGTGATGTTACTCTGAGTGTTACTCTGAATAGGTAGAATAGTATCCCAAAGGCCACAGGTTCAATTCCCCCCATGGTCAAGCAAACTTTTTAGCATGCTCGGTGTGGATGCATACTCAGAGTAACCTAACAAACAACACATGTCTTGTTATCACTGTTCTGATAATGTACAAAGGTCAAGTTAGTGTAATGAACATTGTTATGTTAACCAAAAAATCTGACAATGTCTCTAGTTAACCCATTGAGCCGCAATTCCCCCCAGTGCACCCTACTCATTTTTTTACTTCAGTCTAACACAAGACGATTTCACTCATCAATGGGGAAGCTCTGCAGCTTAATGGGTTAATTAACATATGTTAGTGGATTAGGTTATCAAGTAGATGATGGGTTAAGAATAGGAACGTAAAAAGCAATAAATATACCTATGTTGATTCTGCATAACCATTGGCATCATTATGCTTAAGGCAGAGTCATTATCTATAAATGGAAATGACATTAGTATTTATATGCAATATACACAATAAGAGAATCAGCCCATGTTTATAGTCGTGCCACCCAATTCACTCAGACACATATATAATTTAAATTCTTCGTTACTTTTCCTCCATTCTATGCTTACATTATCAGAACAGTGGTGACTAGACATGCAAGTTATCTGAAAAATGTGAACTGGGTGGCAATAGACATATACATGTGTTAGCCAATTAGGTCTGCTGCATTAATAATATTTATACCTGCTGGTAAATCTGATGCTCTGGCAGTACGGAGTGATCGGGCTAATTTCTGCAATGTTTCCATCCTGTCTTTGGAAAGAATGACTGTGAACAAAATATAACCTAGCTAGTCAGCTATTCTTCACTTGTTACAGTACATACCTAGAAAAGAAATAATTTAATATTGGTGGCTTTCAGCAAGCATTACAAGGGTACTATACCACTGGTGGTTCAACTTCAGAAACTTTTGACTCTTTATAGGAGCATAGAAATTTAACTAAATCTCTCAATTCTGTGAAAAGACTCGACATTATTTTCTCATTCTGGTATTGCCAGTTGACACCGATCGTGCCTTAACGAAAGTCAATTTTATTGAACAGTTTCAATATGTTTTGTTTATATACAATTTGTACAACTTGACAACGAGCTGGAAAATAAACTGTTGTCAAAAACCAAACAGGAAAAGCTTACTAAATTTTATCATACAACCACAGCACACAACCTCTGTTCTTGTTGAGAAATATGTACATGTCAACAATATGTTAAATGGAACTTCACTTACATTTATATTCCTGTTAAAAGTCACATCGACACATCCAAAATGTACATTAATTAATATCAAATAAGTATAAACAATCTAACAGATCGAATTCAAACCACAATACAAGTCATTCTAGCTGACAGACCAACATATATTTATCAAAAACCGATGCAAATAAAAAATATGTAGAGTGGCATAAATAATATGCTGACACAACACAAGCTACATGTCATAAGATCGCCAGTTGTATGGGATGGGTTTATGACCGGAAACTCAACAGAAAAATGCTAGTGTTTCGCAGAAATACACTCAAACCAAAGTTCCGTGTATTCCTTCAGACACTTACCTAATCATATATAATAAAAGCAACCGTTAAAAGGCTCAAAATATTTCAAAAATCGCTAAACTTTGATAACTATGCATATTTCTTCCTTAGCTGCCATGTTTGTTTTGTTTGGTATGGCTAAAAATATCCACCAATCAGATTGTGTCTTTCCTGTGGCGGGAAAACACTTTTTTCTTGGCAGACATTTTAAAATTTGAAAAATCTCTTTTTTCAAAGATTTTTTATTGAAATTTACTCGCTTTCCTTTGCAATTTAGCTGCGAAAAGAATCTTATAAGTTAGTTTAGACTTGCAGCAGGCAGAGTATAGCATAAAAGGTATAAAAGGCCAAATTTATTTTTGTTGACATGTTTTTTTGGGATTTAAATTTTTTGTACTCAGATTTTTGTTTGCTATTTTTAATATACGTCTAGCACTTTGATGTTGGCCGGAAAACCAAGAACAGCTTGAGATATGGATGAAAAGGCTGAACAACAAAAACAAGAGCCTGGTTTTGCCAGCGAAGACAATGGGGAAGCATTCAACCTGGAAAATAACGACAAAAGCCTTCCTGTAGTACCTACTGGGTAAACTATGCATATAAGAAAAAATATTTCAATAATCTTTGAAAAAACCTAGTTACTTTAAAACTTTTCAATCGTACAATCACTATTTTAAATACATCTCTTTTTTATTTTCCGTATTCCAGTGATGAAACACCACAACCAAAACCGATGCATGATGCATTTTCAGAAAAAAGCCCGGCACCTTTACTGTTCAGTCATGGCGATCTACAAAGAAACACACAGCAATTTGTAGATGATATTAATGCAAAGAGAAAACGCGATACCGATTCGTTAGCAGGTTAATATTTTAGGTTTCTGACAATATAGAATTCGTTTCAGCTTTAGAATTAATCTTGAATTACTCAATTGAATCCATATTTATGTATTTGTTTCGTGTAGAAGTACGAAAAGCTCTGGAGGTGCAAGCAACAAGCACTGCAAATACGATTGAAGAGACTTTAGTTGGAGTATATGAAGAGAACAGTAAAGTGATACAGGATAAACTTCAAGAGATTTTTGCAGTTTTAGATAGAATATGTAAGTACTTTACCACAGCTGGTATTGTCCAGATTTACCACCAATGAAGTTACCACCAATGGACCATTTGCATTATAGACTAAATTTTGATCTAGACAAAAATTTCATCACAGCTTGAAAGAGTATCACAAAATTAGTAATATTCCAAAGTTTCATTGCGAAATGTTGTAAAATGCGGATAATATAACCTTGCGAAATTTGCAATTTTCAGTCATTTTGTATTACAAACGGGAAATTGATGCCCCAACACCCGATTGGGCTGTCAATTTCCCGTGCGTAATACAAAATGACTGAAAAACAGCAAACTTCGCACGGCTATATTATCCGCATGTTACAACATTTCGCAACGAAACTTTGGAATATTACTAATTTTGTGATGCTCTTTCAAGCTGTGATGAAATTTTTGTCTAGATCAAAATTTTAGTCTATAATGCAAATGGTCCATTATGGTCATCATTACCATTACCATCGCCACACCAAACTTAACATGATAACCAGTATTAGTATAACCACCATCTGGATTATAACCATCATCACTATACCTGACCATCATCACCACCATCACAATCACTATACCATCACAATTACCATCACTATCATCACCAACATCATCAACTATACCATCGTCAGCATCATCTACTCTACTTACAGGGTGTTAGCTAGTCCATATACTGTCCGTTTGACGGACTCTTCCCAATTGAAGTAGCTAAGGGGCTTTCCCAACTGGGTCTACTGGAAGATTTTCATTTTTTCTTTTGAGAAAGTGCATTGCGTTTGATTTTATATTATTATATCAAAGAACGTTTTGTTTACTTTTTCCCATTAACTATTTTCTCAAAATGTATCGTGTTTATGTACAAAACAAAGTGTAATCGGTGTGCATCCGTGTTCATTCACGGAAATGAAATATACAAAACGAAGTACTATCGGGTGCATTTTTCAGTGTTCATTCACCGGAAATGAAATGTACAAAACCAAGCTACCGTTGTTTGCATCTAAGGAGAAACACGTTGGAAAAAAACACTATTTATTCCTACACAATGACTTTGATCGGTCAAAAAAACTTTCCCAATTTACGTTTAACGGACAATTTCTTTCCCAATTTACGTTTAACGTCCACCTCTATTAGTATAATCCACACCATCAATATCAGCATCACCACAATCACCATCACTATCTACCACAATCACTACCATCATGATCACCATCATAATTACCATAACCATAATCATTATCATCACCATCATGATCACTACCATCATGATCACTATCACCATCACCACCATCATAATTACCATAACCATCATCATTATCATCATCACCAACATCTATACCATCGTCATCATCACCATCATCTACTCTATTTACAGTGACCAATCGTCCACCTCTATTAGTATAATCCACACCATCAATATCAGCATTCATCATCATCATCATCATCACTATCTACCACAATTCCTAAACAAAATTCCTAATTCTTTTTCAGCAACTCTTGAGAGAGAATTAAGTGAATTCAAGCAAGCATTGGGTCTGTTTTATCAAGATGTACAACCATTACCACCATCATAATATCACTGGACATCACTGTTACCATACATGTCAACATTGTACAATATTTAAGATGAAACAGAACAGTTTACAAAATATTGTGTGAACTATTTTACAAAATCATTCACTCACGGTATTTTAGCGTGAGTGATAGCACTTCCATCGTCAAATCGTTAAAACCACACTAAGATTTACTCTAAAATAAAATAGCTCTTTAATACAAATTAATTCTAAATAACTTGCTGTGTACAATATGTTCCTTTAAATAAACATATGTTTGTTCCATTGTTTCCGATAAATAGAAAATCAATGTATACCGACACTTGAATGTTAGTTAGACATTGTTAATATTCAATGAAATCCAACACTACCAACATTGTACTAGTTCCTTCTAAGTTACCTTACCAGTAACCTGAAGTTCAGGCCCTAATTTGAAATAAGGCCTGACACAAAACCTGTCTAGACCGTGGGACGCCCACATGTTATTTTTAGACACAACATGCAATATGATTGACAAGTGTTGTAGATTTCGTTACACAAAAAATTTATATTCTCATGAACATGTCCGCAGAGTGTGCATTTTGCTTTTTAATTAAACTTAACAATTCAAGGTACTTTTATATAATTAAGAGTCAGTTTCTCTATTTAACCGAACAGCAAACGAAGATTTAATTAGTCAGTTCTGTGGACGGCTTAACCATAGAATAAGGGCTTGACTTCCAAGCTTTCTCAAGGTCTCAACTTGCTGGACGCGGATATACTCTAGCGACTATTTAACGGGCTAACAACAGCAACAATGAAATTCTCAATCGTACCACGAAGAAGGCAATGTAGCTCAGAAAACAACGCCGCGGTAGGACCTGATATTAAAAATAAGACTTTTGCCGGCGAAGCCAGTTGGCAGAACATCTTGGCTGTCAACAACAAGCTTTCGAATACATGACTAGTTTGGCTGTTCTTTCAGCGTCGTGTGTCCAAAATTCGTCAAAGATTTTGATGAAGCCCTTTCAAAATACTGTTTTCAAAATATTTATTTTCTGCCATAAAGCATAAAAGAAAAGAAATTCGAAGAAATCGATAATGGAATTTGTTACGTGCGTTTGACCTTTATATTAATTGTCGCCTTGACCGAGCTATTTTTAAAACTGTTGTTTATGTGAACATGCAACCAATCAAAATCCTTCATGATGCTGATCAACCAATCAGATTTCCCGTCCACCAGGTGGACGGGAATCCCACAGTTTAGATAGGTTTTGTGTCAGGCCCTATTCTGTGATTATGGCCTGAACTTCAGGTTACCTTACCAGTTGATTGGGAATACAAACATACACAACTTCACCTTTCATCAAGAAATGCTGCTTTCCTTTTCTAGAAAGCAAGTAATAGACAGTAGTAAAATTGGGTTTCCAATTCATCAAAAACGTAACTGACAAAATATGTTACCTTAATCTTTTTCGGGTTGGGAAACTGTGGATTTTCGATAACACCTTTACCGAATTTCAATTCCAAGAATTCTCTGTAATTGTTGGGAACTGACGCTTTTATTCCAGCAAAATCTGAAATATAAGTATAAATACAATTTAACAACTCGTGACCATTATAGTTTATCCATCAATCAAAACAATCCATCTAGCATATTCCCCTACCTAGAGTTGTCAAAGGCTTCAAATAATGTGCAGGAAATTCCGAGTCTTGACGGTGTGTTTTAAACCACGTATTTTTCGTCATTATACCATTCTTTTCGTAAAATGGAAATATGTCTAAAACAGTGAAATATTAAACCATTCACTTTGTTAGTTTGACAATACAAAACATTCCCGGTTTCTCCAGTACTCCGATTTCCTCCTGTAATGACACTGAACCAATCAGAGATAACTCTTACTGAACCTCTAGGAAGAACAGTTCAGAACTGATAGAGCTATCCAGTATAAATAAAGTTAGTTTAATTTAGGTTTCCTCCTGTAGTAACACTGGAGCAATAAGAGATGATTCTTACTGGACCTCTAGGGAGAACAATTTAGAACTGATAGAGATATCCAGTACAAATAAAGTTAGTTTAGTTTAGGTTTCCTCCTGTAGTAACACTGGATCAATAAGAGATGATCCTTACTGGACCTCTAGGAAGAACAGTTCAGAACTGATAGAGCTATGCAGTATAAATAAAGTTAGTTTAATTTAGGTTTCCTCCTGTAGTAACACTGGATCAATAAGAGATGATTCTTACTGAATCTCTAGGGAGAGAACAGTTTAGAACTGATAGAGCTATCCAGCATAAATAATTAAAAGTTAGTTTAATTTAGGTTTCCTCCTGTAATAACACTGGATCAATAAGAGATGATTCTTACTGAATCTTTAGGGAGAACAGTTTAGAACTGATAAAGCTATCCAGTGTAAATAAAGGTTAATTTAGGTTTCCTCCTGTAGTAACACTGGATCAATAAGAGATGATCCTTGCTGAACGTCTAGGAAGAACAGTTTAGAACTGATAGAACTACACAGTATAGATAAAGTTAGTCTAATTAATTTCTTGAATTTAAATAAATTGTGACCACGCCTACCTACATGTAGATGATTCGTTTCACTGAACTGAACTCGGAAAAACTCGCCTTCTCTTGCTTTCTCCCAAACAAAACCTTGATTATCAATGTGTTTCTTCTGGGCAGATTCTTGAACATGTCGCAACTGGTTACACTATGCAATTGAAGAATAAAGGATGGTAAAAATTATAATAGAACTTCTCTCAAATTCATATTAATGAAATCACGGAAATAAATAAACCAAGTATACATTATTAATTTCATGCTGATACATTCCAATGTCAACATCATAATCCCAGGGTATAATATCACCACTCCGCACCGCTCCAAGTAAACTACCACCCTACACAAATAAACAAAAAAAGAGACGTAAACAAACCATCCTTGCTCCCACGTGTTGTTGACTGCCTTTCCGCAACGCAAGCGGCCGAGGCGCCCTTGGAACGAAGATGTAAGCGAACAATCTATGACTTGTTTGACTCTTACTTCAAGCCAATAACTGACTCCAGCCTCCGCTAGTGTTCGAAACACATATCGCGTTGTCTCCTTTAAATTACCTAAAACATTAAAACAGATAAATCATGGTGGAAGCAAAGCTAAAAATAAACATCATTCGTGACGGAAAACGAAAGAATCGGAAGATGTGTTTAACCATAGACAATCCAAAAGACATGTCCAACTTGCTGGTTCCAACATTTCTAAAGTCGACGACCATCTGCTGTTCTGTGACACTTGCTGTCTGAAAGGCACCAATAATACTACTCACGCATACAACAGGGCGGTGTCCACTTTCCTTCGTAAATATATTCAGGCATGTCATCTACTACTGTTCCAAAACATCGCGCTGTCTCCTAAATAACATACAACCAGTGGTGGCACTATTAAATAAAAGTGTCTCTCAACGGAGTTCATTTGGACCATTCCATTAAAAATGGGAACCACTCCTACTGAGGGCGCTACGCGTTTCAAATGAATGGCCCGCCCATTCCTAAAATGTCCAATAGACATTACCGATTATTCCCTTTTAACGAATGGTCTCGTTTTCATGTCAAATACTTACTTATGTTCTGTGCTTAGTACAGTTAAAAGTTACTTTGTTATTGAGCCTAAGAACAGCAAGAAACAAATTCGTCCAGGAAAACATGGAAATATAATCTTTATCTGCCTCCGACAGGCTAAAATAAGTTAACATGGAAACGAGGCCATTGAGTAAAAGAGAATAATCGGTAAGGTCTATTGTATAATATATTCCTCTCAGTAGCCCCATGTGAAAGAGTGCTTCTAGGCTTTCGTAAACATGCACTACTTACTTTAGTACACCCGTACCAGTTGTGAATGCCATTTTGGTTGACCAGTTTTACAGAAAATCTATACAGCAACAAAACAACATATCCTCAACATGCTTGAGCAAAAACAACTGATAAACCTCTTAATCTTGATAAGATATAATTTTGAAATGTCTGTGCTAGTGTAGGTAGTGCGAATCAAATGAACAAGCTTTCGTTGGTAGGGATGCAACTACCTGAAAAATATAAGGAGAATTTCGACGTTTCGAGCGAACGCCCTTCGTCTGGAGCAGGGCGTGTCTGAAGTAACCAGACGAAGTGTTCGCTCGAAACGTCGAAATTCTCCTTATATTTTGCAAGTAGTTGCATCCCTAGCAACGAAAGCTTGATAAACCTGAGGCATATAAATCATATGTAGGTAGACAGCTCACACCTTTTATATAATTTTAGCAATCGTATGTTCTTTTTCTGTTCAGCTTTCCACCTAAAAGAAAACGTAGATGTAGTTCAATGCTCCTCTAAGTGTCAAAATTTCGTCCATCGTCAGAAACACTTAGTGAGAGCCACCTATTTCCATAATTCATTGCCCACAATGTCAATTACAAAGTGCCGTGTTCCTTCGTGAAAATTACCTTTTATGTCCATCAGTAAGTAGATCTTTTCCTTTGGTGAAAATTGTGTCTTCACGAACGATCGTTTTCCAACCCCTTGCAGCGAACTGGATAAACAAGGCTAAGAAAAAAAAGAAAGATTTAAGTATACACTGAAAAGTTGATTGCATTTCTGGAGTGACGTGCAACAGTTACCTGCAGGGTAAGGTCTCAGAAATGGTTCACTGAGATTCGCCAAACACGAAGTTGGCAATAGCAAAATAACTTTGGAAGAGCCAGTTATGGCGTCACAGACTCTCTCATCTGGAAAGAAACAAAATACTAAACATGATATTTGCTGTCTTGGTGTAATGTACTCATGTGAATAAGACGCTTGTGATTCACAAGCATCTTATTCACCTGAGTACATTACACCAAGACAGCAAATATCATGATTATTAGATTACACTGATATCGAAGGAACTAGACTCAGTTCCGAAATATCACATACTCGAACCGACCTGACCGCGTAACTCAGTTGGCAGAGCATTGGGCTAGTATTCCAAAGGTCGTAGGTTCGATTCCCACCGTGGCCAGGCATATTTTTCAAGCCTGCCCGGTGTGGATATACACGCAGAGTAACATCAAAGCAAAATACTAAACTTTATCTAACTTATGCATAGCTCTATCATTTCTAAACTGTTCTCCCTAGTGGTGGAGTAAGGATAATCTCTTATTGTTCCAGTACCACCACAGGAGGAAACCAGAGTACCTGTAGAAAAGCAATAGTGTTTGGTAGAGTAAAACTGGACTCACATGCAATAAATATTTACCAACACTTACGTGTTTTTTCTTGGTAAGACAATGTCCATTGTCTAAAGCAAATTCAGACATGTTTCATTAACCAAAGAAGAAAAAACCGCATGTAAGTCAAACATATTTCAACAGACGAATTGAGTAATTCTTTATATAAACAATCTTTAAATCATGACCTTAAATCAACTTTCATCTGAGCACACTGGTATTGACTGTCAACATGGAAAGCAGCAATTCTTATACCATCCGTACCATCCAAAATTTCAAAGTCAAAGAATTTAAGTTTTTGAATACTATGTAGTCGTATAGCATCTGGTATCATTAACACATATTTTGTTTTGATATAGCTAGAAATGAGAATGTGACATTTGGTTAAATCTTAGGTAGGATCCTAAACCCTCTGCTAGGAGGGCAGATGTTTAAGGTGGGGCTTATTGAGGGGGCTAAATAGTTTTTACAAAGACTGATTGAAGAGGAATGCAGTCATTGCAATGGTGGTCAATGATACCTAGTTATGATGCAAAATTTTATAAATCAAAGAATTTTTTTCTTACAACATTGGATCACCCCATTGTTGTGGATTGCTTGGTGGTTGATCTTGAACAACAATCTAATTTTGAAATAACAGAAATACTTAATACACACATATTTCTTTTTCATGAAGAGGGGAACTTACTAGAGAGGGGGGCTTTAATAAATTTCTTGCTCCAAAGGTGGAGGTTTATTAGAAACTACAAGAGGGTCAATTAAAGAGTGGGATTATTAGAGGGAGAGAGCTTATTAAAACAGGAAGGCTAATTAGAGAGAAGGCTAATTAGAGAGAAGGCTAATTAGAGAGCAGGCTAATTAGAGAAGGAACATTATCGAGAGTGGGGCTTATTAGAGAGGGGGCTTATTAGAGAGGGGGATAATTAGAGAGAAGGCTTATTAGAGAGGGGGATTATTAGAGAGAAGGCTGATTAGAGAGTGGGGCTTATTAGAGAAGGGGCTTATTAGAAAGGGGGCTAATTAGAGAGAAGGCTAATTAGAGAGAAGGCTAATTAGAGAGGGAACATTATAGAGAGTGTGGCTTATTAGAGAAGGACTTATTAGAGAGGGGGATAATTAGAGAGAAGGCTAATTAGAGAGGGAGATTATTATAGAGGGGCTTATTAGAGAGGGGCTTATTAGAGAGGGGCTTATTAGAAAGGGGGATAATTAGAGAGAAGGCTAATTAGAGAGGGGGATAATTAGAGAGGGGCTTATTAGAGAGGGGTCTTATTAGAGAGAAGGCTAATTAGAGAGGGGGATTATTAGAAAGTGGCTTATTAGAGAGGGGGCTTATTAGAGAGAAGGCTAATTAGAGAGGGGGATTATTAGAGAGGGGCTTATTAGAAAGGGGAATAATTAGAGAGAAGGCTAATTAGAGAGGGGATTATTAGAGAGGGGGATTATTAGAGAGGGGCGTATTAGAGAGGGGGATAATTAGAGAGAAGGCTAATTAGAGACGGGGATTATTAGAGTGGGAAGCTTAGCTGAGATATGATGCAATAGAGGATTAATAATAATGTATAAATTATCTGAACTTTATTCTTAACCTTGACATTCTCCTCAGGTGTATCTAAAGGTGGATATGGTTTGTTCTTGCTGACAATCAATATATTTACACCAGGCAATACTTTCAGGATTGACTCAACTGTACTTGAAATGTCATTTTCAAATTCCTCTGCAAGAATGAAGTTTTACAAAATTAATTCATATTTATGAATAAATCTAATAATTGCCTTACTAGTCCAGCTGTGTTATTACAGTAGGAAACAGGAGTACCCTAAGAAACCCTGTGGTGTTTGGTAGAGTCAAACTGGAAGCACTCTTCTCACATGTGACTGAAGTGAAATTATAATCAGAAAACTGCATATTTCAGGAATCAAACTCTGCTCATATCTAAAGCTAACAGAGGTGTATAAAAGACACAAGTCCTAGAACCACATTAGTCCCAACATCCTACCATCCATAATGTTGTCTCTTATTCTTTTTTACTCACCAAACTCATTAATCACAACAGTAAATGGTATGTTGGCACCAATAAATTTGGCAAGTCTACCTATAATACAATTCAATGAGTGAGAATTGATAATGGCCAATCATACATTAACCCATTAAGTGGCAGCACTCTCCCCCTGATGAGTAAAATCATCTGGCATTAGACAGATATAAAGTAGGGCACATTGCCACTTAAAGGGTTAACATTTACCATATACATTGGTAACATGTTTGAATATGGCTATAGATCATGCAGCATGGTCATTCACACTTGTTTACCACCATCTGCCGACTAACCAATAGAGGTTCAGATTTGACTTACACTACCACTAAGGGACCATATAATTTAACCAATCACATGCATTTGATATATCCGATTAACCAATCAGATGCGTACCAAGCCATGAGAGGTAGTGGTAGTCAAGGCTGAACCTTTCTGTTGATGACGTACATAACAGTAACTAGTACATAACTTGAGTAACCACAGTACAACCACACTTGCCTTCTGTATGGTCATTTGCTCCGGGTTGGGACAGAAATAACAATAGAAACACCAAAATATTTAACAAAAGACACAAGAAAAGAATTTGATAACGTCTGCTATAGTACATTAAATTCTATTGATGTGAAATAGATGACAATTGTTTATGTCGAATACTGTACAAATTATTAACATTCAATATTTAAATCAAAGTATCAATATTAGTAATTTCCCTGGTCATTTATAAACTGCACTTCCACTTTGGCCTGAAAAGTTGAAAATTTTGGGTCGCCAATTTTTATATTAGTTTATTTTAATTTTTAAATTATTAATTTATGTAGCAATTCTAAATGAATAATATGATATAAATATATAACTAGGGTCTTTATAATTTAACAGTTTTAAGTTTTCACTAGACCCCTAGCCCGCTCTGGGGCTTTATTTGCTTTTTTTTCCAAAGGACAAACCAAGACAAATATTGAACTAACATAGTTGAAGTGGAAACAGAACGTGTGATGCACGCGTGGAAATGACCTATCGGAAATGGTCGTCGGTGACAACCGTTGCGCAATAACATCCATTCAGCCATTATGTTTTGTTGACATTTGAAACACAAAATATTTTGGTGTCATTGCGCAGCAAAAGGGTTCGCTTTTATCTTCAAAAACTGCCATTGTTTTAGAATAGATCTCCACAAATATGAGCTCGAAGAACTTGCACAATATAAGTTCGACCCAAGGTGAGTAGAAATGTGTTATTTTTAAAACAGAAAGAGGGATTTTGGGGTTTTGTTTGGACAGTGTTTGGATTAAAATGTGACAAACTATGGGTGTGTTTTTGATCGCATACATTCAACATACATGATCAAGTAATATTTGCACACATTGTGACTTAGTTTAGTGCAAAATGCAACTAATACTAACATTCTAAAATAGCAAATGATTAAATTATCGATTATATTTTACAAATTTATGCTATGACTTGACAAAATCAACGAAGCATTTTAGTGTCTTTATTATAAAATACGATGATATAATATGTTGTCGGAAGTGACTCAAGTGTATTTTAAAGTTTTATCTAACATGAAACGATACTATTAGGTCTTTGACAGTTTTGTAATAAGTTTTGTTATTAAAATAGTTGCTGTAGACGCTTTACTTTGTGTGTAATCAATTCGCAAATGGGAACAATATTTTCCGTGCATCATGCACGAAACTGCGCCTTTAACTGTAATTGAATATAAAGTTACCGTTAACCGCATATAACTTTATACTCCAAATTTGAGTATTTTCTATTAGTTTGCTTCACTTATAATAAATGTGTGAACATTTTCAAATTCTTTACATGTAAAATACGGGTATTTGTGCATTTTTCCCTGTTAATTTTGTAATAGGCATTCCTTCCTTGCATGTGAATTTGTTGTATATAGTATTTTCGTATAAAAAATTTTGGAACAGCTGCGGTTTTAAAATGTTGATTTTGTCCCTACGCAGCTGCTTCAGTAACCGGAATATGTCTTCGAAATATACAAAAGCAGAAAGGCTTGTTTTATATATGTATTATATAGTCATGAAAAACTTGTGTTTGTGTGATTTTTTTTAAAATCACAATGTACATCATATTATACAATTCTGTTCTGTTATCTTGAAAAAATATCTTTCCATAATTAAAAAAAGTTGAGGGGAAAGTTTAACAATGATTTAAATAAACATGTTTTAGTTTGTTACAGGCAAACAGATAGTGGTTAACCCCAGAAATGAGACAAGAAAATCAATCCTTTAACTGGGCAACCTTGTCAGTGTGTGTCCTAATTTGTTTTACTTTAAAGCCAAACAATTTTATTCATTTGCCACTACATATAGTGAGAATAATTTTCTCACTTAGAAACCTGTTTGATCACCATTTTCTGCACAATAAGAAAGAGTAGTGACAAGAAACATCTCTCACCTCAAAGCTCACCCTATTTTAGAAATGGCGGCCTTCAGTTAATAAATTGTTTTACAATTTTAGATCAAAGCGGCGATACTGGTTGTTGCAGCAGTATCTGTGCGGTCGTACTGACTGTATTGTCGTTCATATTGGTTGTCTGTACTTTCCCTTTCTCTTTAATGTTCTGTCTCAAGGTACGAGAAAGCGTTGTTCATTTATGTTCTGCTGAGGAGAAAATGTTTTCTGACTCATACTCTGATTGAGTGTGTTGTATTGTCACATGCATTGAGAAAGCAACCCACAATTGTGTGCAAGTCTGCAATTAGATGCATTAGCATAAGCACAAGTAGGCAGAATGCTTTAATTTATGTTCTTACGCTTGTGTTGGTGCATAAGCAACAACATAAGCATGAGGAAAAGGCCGCAACATTTTGATATTCTTATGCTTATGTTGCATCATAGTGAGGACATGGCAATGTGCCCTAGTTAGTTTGTTATTTTACCCTGGTTGTTTAACACCAATGCCAGATAATTTTACACAGAAGCAACAATGCAGAAGATAGCCATAGCAACAGGTCATGCTATGCAAGTTTTGAATGATTTGCATTGTTCAAACTTTTAGAAACATATTGTCTTTAACCTATTTAGATGCAAGTTGATTAGCATAACAAAAAACCTGATCAATTCTCATGATTTAAGCCTGGTTTCCACATGGTCATGGTCAATCTCCCTCAACGCGGCCAGTTTCTAATAGTTTCTGCCTGTAACCACATATAAATCATAAGTATTCTCTAGTTGTAATCACTCCGCATAATTTTCAGATCTAAAATGTTGTATTTCGGCTGATGAGAAAGATTGTGACTCAATCTTTACGACCATACGGGAACCAGACTTTAATTTACTATGCATAGATTGTTCAAGAGTATGAAAGAGCAGTTATATTTCGGCTTGGTCGTCTAATGTCTGGTGGAGCGAAAGGCCCAGGTAAAAATCAAATCTAGACTAGCTGTAGCGTCATACCATTTTTTCATGTATATAATGAGAAAACTCTGATTCCTTTGTGCATAAACTATGAACATTAAAATCTAGGTGCATTTACTACTTTGTAGGTTTGTTCTTTATTTTGCCCTGTATCGATTCCTATCAAAAGGTTGATCTTCGTGTTGTTTCATTCGATGTCCCACCTCAAGAGGTAAGTTTTAACACTAATTCTTGACGAAGGGTACTTCTGAATGGAGGGTTTGAGTAAGATTACATAGCTGCAGCTATATTTTCTCAGTGTGATAGCTGCAAACTGACTAGCATCTATTGTTAGCAATGCTTTGAAAACCTGCATAGTAGAGGCATGTGTGTTACTGTTATTTCTGAGAATTATAGTAATTACTTAACTCTCTTGACTTTTCTAGATTTTGACCAAAGACAGCGTGACAGTTGCAGTTGACGCTGTAGTGTACTACAAGATCTACAATGCAACCATGTCCGTCACCAATGTGGAAAACGCAAGCAACTCCACGCGATTGTTGGCGCAAACCACACTTCGAAATATCTTGGGAACCCGAAGCTTGAGCGAGATCCTGTCGGAGAGAGAGACTATCAGCCATGCAATCCAGACCAACCTGGATGAGCCCACTGACCCATGGGGTGTGAGAGTTGAGAGAGTTGAAGTGTAAGTAGGCTGATCCATCTGGACACAAGATGAAGTATCCAGACAAACTATCTTGAATAGATAATTAATTGTATCAATCCACAGCTTTCTTGAATAGCATGATCTATACTAGCAATGGAATAATATTTTCTTGATAGTTTGACTAATGTTGTGTTTATACACATAAGTGGATTATCTGTCAAAATGATTTGAATGCATGTTTGTTTGAGAAGATGAACTATGTGCACAAAATTTATAATTTGTCTACATGGCTGAGAAATTCTGTAATTCATGCATATGTTTTTGATCTTTTTACAGTAAAGATGTGCGCCTTCCTCAGAACTTGCAGAGAGCTATGGCTGCTGAAGCAGAGGCCGCGAGAGAAGCCAGAGCCAAGGTGAGTCATATTGTGTTTGTATAAACTCTGTAAGGTTTAACTCTGTTAGACTCTAGTCGCGTCCAGCCCTGCAGATTTTCTTCAGGTACTCACCCTTAGCTGGATCTTGGGGGAGAACAGTTTAAAACTATAAATTTCATTTCAATAACCAAATCTATGTTGTTTGTATAACTAGGTGATTGCCGCTGAAGGTGAAATGAATGCATCACGAGCCTTGAAGGAAGCTGCTGAAGTGATTGCTGAATCACCACAAGCCCTGCAACTAAGATATCTGCAAACACTGAGCGCTATCTCAGCCGAGAAGAACTCTACCATCATCTTCCCTCTGCCAATCAGCATGCTGAATGCTTTGAAGGGTTCATCTGGTTGACGACTGACTTAATTTGTCTCTTCTATACCACTATTACTATATTACTGTAACTGTGTTATCATATTTCTGACTGTATTAACACACATTGTATTCTGTAATTGCACCGTTAGTACCATATATTTCAGTACACTTGATCTGCCTACGCTTGATTTACTCAAGTTACAGATTTCTTCTGTGCTATATTCTATGTAGCTTGTGAACACACACTGGTGGGTTTCAATATGCGACAGCAAAGGCAGGTGGCCATGCTTCAGAAATGCGAACACATCGTTTCAAGGTCGGTTTACTACACTACACAACTTTTGCCTAAAACTGTCGCATGCAAGCTGCTTACAACTTGAGTTGTACTGTGTAAATCGAGCATACAACTTGCCTGCGTAGGCAAAAGTTGTGTAATGTGCTTAGTGAAACCCGCCTGCCCGCAATGACGAAGCCAGCCATGGAAGCTGCATGGTCATGCACCTAAAGGCTTCGAGACATTGTATTTCTAAAGGTTTACATAATTACCACTTGAATGGGCAAACTGAGGCCGCTTTTGCATATTTTTGGGTTTTTTTTTCAAACTAACCAAAACCAATCACCAGCGGCCGTTATTTTGACTATAAACATTTTCCGGTTATGAACTTATGACGTAGCCATAGGTCTAAATAACCCACTGGTGAATTGGTTTTGGCTTAGTTAGAAAACATTAAAAATACGCAAAAGTGGCCTCGGTTTTTTCGAGCTGTAAAATAATGAATAATTTGCATAACATGATCAGTTAACTATGGCTAGCTTCACCATTGCTACTGTCCTGTACACACTTGACTGGGAATCAAGTTTTTATCTATTGATTATTCTATGATCGCAGTTATTTATTTTTATCAGTAAATAATCTGTTAATGTCAGGTACATTGAGATTAATAAAGCATAATCTGTTTGATTTTAAATTAGTTGTTCTCTAATAACATGTAGTGCTCCAAAAATAGATAAGTTTAATACCAAGTATATTACAAATTTTACAAAAATAGACAAGTTTGACGCTTTCGTTCGCGCTTGAAGGCTGGCAATGTATAGCACCCATTCACTTGGATTCACCCATAAAGTATGCCAGAAAAATTAAAATGCTCCTCAATCTTAGGCTTCGGTCAAATGAGAATTGCCAGTCACGCATTGTTAGGGACCGTTCATTATTTATACCCGGGCAGTGGTACCGAACTGAGAAGCGAAAAACAGTGGAAATTTTTTATTTGCCCAACCTCAACATTGGTCAAAATAATCCTAACCCAACCCATGTGTTACTGTACTTCATAATAATTAAACACACATGATTATGGTGACAAAAATCAAATTGCCTAAATTCTAAAAGCTCAAACTCACTGAGTATGCCAAAGCAATCACGTTCCTGCTAATCAATGATAGAGTCCTCCTCAATCACTAATGGTCTATTTTGGTATTTTCCAATGCATGGTAATTTTGGTTTTATTTTATAGCTCACAGTCAGCGATATTTTTTTTACCCAACCCATGAGCTAGTCCCATACCTCTTCGGTACCAACCCCGGGTATAAATAATGACGGTCGGTTACCGGGGACATTTCAAGCTCTAGATTAACAAAATAAAGGTTGGATGAGTGTTCGGCTATGTTTTAACTTAAATAGAATACACGATAGTGTTGAGAAAGCATTAAGAACAGCTAACCAAGCTCGCGTGACTGTCAACTCTCATGCACTTCCATACTCGTTTCATCCTGGCTTCTTTCTTGCCAAGGCGAAGATTGCTCATCATCAAGAGGCCACACTTTTTTCTGGTTCTGCCTCTTTCGACAGTTTCTTCTGTAGTTCGGCGAGGTAGCTTTCCACAAAACTTATGTGGTTGACGATATTTTGACAACCAAATGTATGTGTTGCTCTCTCAAAAACCTCGAGATCCTTTGCGAGTTCATCATCTGGCTGTTCCAGAGATTTTCTTAGACTCTGTAGCATGGAACTGGAATGCAGAGATATTGTCAGTGAATGACCTACAGTGTCGCAGTACGGTATACAGTGTACGTCATCTTGGCTATAGAGCCTCGTTCGTGATTGAGACGTCGAGCTTTAAGGTGGAGTAATACGGGCAACAAAATTGCTGCAACTTGCAACAAAATCCGATTTCTACGCATGTTAAGTAGAAATGATGACACATAAATGACAAATCACGAGGCAACATGTGACGACATTTCTACTTAACATGCGTTGAAATCAGATTTTGTTGCAACAATTGTGTTGCTCGTATTACTCCAGCTTTAACTATAATGTCACATACATGAAAACGATGCTCTATATAGCGAAGATGACGTACTTTCCTGGAGGATGTATATTATATATTCGATAATATATTTAACAAATAGATAAGATTTTGCCGTTGTCTGGTCAGTTATAGATACACAGTATGAGGTCATAATGAGATGCACCAAATCAGAAATCTGCGACGCGGCTGAAAAACAGTCGCTAATAATGGAAGACTAGTTTTACTTTGTTTTTCTCGTGTCCCTGGCTTTGTTTACCAACAACAATCCATAGTTTTTACCCGTGAAGTGAAACTGTGATATTAGAGACCTTTAGATTGACGTTTACGGCAAACGGCAAACCGCTAGCGAGGTTTTTGATTTTACAACTCTATTATAATAACTTTTACACCAGTTTTGAAATATGTTAAACTTAGGGGCCGATTACATGGAGCATTTTCAACCCCGGGGTTGAACTCAGCCCTGTTAACCGGGTTGAAATGTTTTGCGATTATATGGACGATTTCAACCCCGGGGTTGAAATTTCAACCCTGCTAGCTGAAGCAGGGTTGAAATTTCAAGGGTTGAACTCAGCCCTGGGTTGAAAATTTTGTCATGTAATCGCGCGTTTGATTTTGATAGAGTTTTGTATTACAGACGGGGTTGAAATTTCAACCCGGTAAACAGGGCTGAGTTCAACCCCGGGGTTGAAAATGCTCCATGTAATCGGCCCCTAATTAAACTTGTGCTCTTTAGCAATGATTTAAGAAAGCCAATTGACCACTAGTCATGCCATTCACCAAAGCAGTAAATTAAGATTTGGCGTTTTAAGTTGACGTTTGGCGTATAAATTTCATGCTTTAACGACTACAAGCCCTCGTAGCAGTTCAAGCATGAAATTTATACGCCAAACGTCAACTTCAAACGCCAAATCTTAATTTACTGCTTTGCTGAATGGCATGACTAGTGGTTAATTTACTTTCTTAGATCATTGCTAAAGAGCACAAGTTTAATAAGTTTAACATATTTCAAAACTGTTGTAAAAGCTATTATAATAGAGTTGTAAAATCAAAAACCTCGCTAGCGGTTTGACGTTTGCCGTAAACGTCAATCTAAAGGTCTCTATTCTGAGACACCCTACGATTGACGTTTACGGCAAACGTCAAACCGCTAACGAAGTTTTTGATTTTACAACTCTAGTTATAACAGCTTTTACACCAGTTTTGAAATATATTAAACAGTTATTAAACTTGTGGTATTTAACAATGATTTAAAAAAAGCAAATTAAGTTAATTGACCACTAGTCGCTTATTCGCCAAAGCAGTGAATTAAGACCTGGCGTTTGAAGTTGACGTTTGGCGTATAAATTTTACGCTTGAACTGCTACGAGGGCTTGTAGCCGTTAAAGCATGAAATTTACACGCCAAACGTAAACTTCAAACGCCAGATCTTAATTCACAGCTTTGGAGAATATGTGAGTAGTGGTTAATTTGTTTTCTTGAATCATTGTTAAATACCACAAGTTTAATAATTGTTTAATGTATTTCAAAACTGGTGCAAATGTTGTTATATAATAGAGTTATAAAATCAAAAAGTTCGTTAGCGGTTGGACGTTTGCCGTAAACGTCAATCTAAACCTCTCTAATAAATAGAGGCGTAGATTTGGTGTATCGTTTAGCTCCCTAGTGGTTCACGAGTCGCCGAAGAGAAAACACCCCGAATTAAACAGGTAAATAGCTTACCTTTTACCATCCAAACATTTGGAAATTTGAAAAAGTCGAAATTTTACAAATATCACGCGTACATAATCTATATACAAATAAGGGAATGCCATTGGCTACCTTAATTGTGACGTAATTCCGTGCATCTGTCGTGTCCTCTAATAGATCATGGCTCTCGACCAATGAAAGCGCATGGATTCTTAACGTTATTATATACTAGAAGTTACTATCGCAAGGAAAGTGCTGCCTCATCCCGCTTTCCATGATATAAGCAAGTAAAGCACCCCTAGACACCTGTTCAGGGGGTAGGAAAGTGCAATTTGAATACAAAAACACCTTAAACAAAGTCGAAGGTCAGCTAAATATATATTACTATAGTGATTAATAAGGACCATCAAGAGAAAATACTTACATGGTGCTATTTATAGTTTCTTTATTGTCATCGAGTCCACTCTCCGTCTCGTCACTCGCTTCAGCTTGCGTTTCTTCATTTCTGTCTTGTTCCATCTGCGCTTTCATCGTATCCGCAACGTAGTCGGTCGGAAAATACTCGGAATTCACTTGATGTATCCCATTTGCAAGCGTCCGTGCCTCTCTCTCGCACAGCCGTGAAAGAACGTTCACTTTACTATGTTTCGACTTTGCTTTAAGATTATAACGCGATATCAGTTCATTTCCGGTCGTCTTCGAGTGCCTTAGATAGGCTACCATCTCCGACCGGCCAAAAAACTCCGGGTATTCAGTCCTTCTACGAAGTTCGTCAAGGGTCAAAGGTATAGCTTGTAATTTATTCACAGGGCTGAATAAATTATTCACGTACGTTACAGTCTCATTGCCATCGGGAGAGACCGACACGGGCCCCTCCGAATCTGCGGCGACTATATCCCGAGCTGTTTCCGAAGTGTTTCCGTCAAGGTCCGAAGGTTTCAGAGCCTGCGTTTCTCGCGTTATATCGGTCAGAGGTCGTTGCGGTGATTGACTGGATGTTTGGTTTCTATGTAAAACACGTTCTCTCGCAAAATTGTTTGTTTTTCTCGATTTACCTGTGTTAAGCTTTTCGAAATTCCCTGGTCTTTTTCGACTCAGTTTCCAAGTGTTGTTTTCAGGAAGAGCTGAAGTGCACGAGGCCATGTCTTTCTTCTGTCGGTCCTGAAAATGAACGCTTGGTTAGTTTTGTTTCGTTCTCTGCTTACATTATCATAACAGTGGTACCAATTAAGAACGGTCAGTGTGGGTAGTGGCAAAAATAAGAAAGCTTCGGTAATTGATAGGGAAGCAACTACATGAAAAATACAAGGAGAACTTCGACATTCCGAGCGAAGACCCGCTACTAACCTCCCGTCAAAGGGATCAATCTAAAGCTTTCTTAGCAATAAAGGCATATACGAGTTATCTGGGTAACAATATTAGAAACTTGTTAGCTGATTAGGTTTATTCGGCGTAGGCCTCGGAAGGCGTTTGTCGGAGTGTTAGATATTTCCTCTCCAGTCTCAAGAGATCCGGGTTCTACGGAAGCAGAGCAGTGATGCAAAAACACTCCAGTTCGTGCCAGTATAATATACTGATTGCACTGTTGACAGTCAAGTGAGTGTGAACAAAGCTGCGATCACGTGAAGATTTTAAGAGAAATATACAACTATTGGAGTCGGTTTTTCCCGCGAGTTCTTACACTTCTCTTTCGTCACTAAGGCCCGTTCTACACGCCGTACTTCACATGTGCCGAATACATTAAGAGCAATAGACAATGAGTAATTTTTTCTTATTGTATCTATTGTTATCTATTGTCTTTAATGTATTCGGCACATGTGAAGTACGGCGTACGAAACGGACCTAATTAGAACAAATTAAATGTGAGCTGCCTAAAACGATCTGATGTTGTACAGAACTCACTGTTGAGTCGGGGTGGTACATGTTCTTGAATGTGGGCTACCTTAAGGCCTGATTCCACGAGCGCTTTTTGTCGGCGAAATGCGAAATATTTCGCCTGTTTCTTTTGAATTGCGACCACTCGAATAAATTATTTCTACTTGATTGCTCACAATTCAAAAGAAACAGGCGAAATATTTCGCATTTCGCTGACAAAAAGCGCTCGTGGAATCAGGGCTTAAAAGTAATCTTATGTTGTACAGAACTCACTGTTGAGTCAAGCCTGTATGGTTGGAACATAGTGAACTTGTACGTCACAACTCACATGTGATCTCTCGAGAAGAATGACTAAAGGGCGTTTCCGCCAACGTATGGGCGAAACCTGAGACCGTTGAAATATATTATTGTATGGAAAATGTTGTCTTGTATCAGCCATTGTTTGAATTCAATAATTTACAACAGAGCTTACGAAGAGTTTGCCATTCAGAAGAGTTCTACAAAATCTTGTTTGAAACTACTCAGCTAGAAATACAGCCCATGCTTGGCTGCTCTTCATTTGATCTATTCATGTCTACATCAATGATGACAGCCTTACCGCGAGTGTCCCACTCACATTCCCTGAAGAATGTACAAGATCTTACAATATCGTATTTTTAATACCATACTTTAGTATCATCCCGGTATATCATTACGCATTGTATACATATTGACATTAAACCACTGATCTCTGCAATACGCACGTATGTTATCATTATTAAGAAAAAAATACACTGAAGAAAGACAGTCATGCATGGATGATACAAAGTTATGGAGTCATGAAGGACATGAAGGATGGGCCACGAACTCATCTGTGACCGCAAGTCCGTAACCCCTCCCCCCCCCCTCTACCTTACCCCATCCCTAAGACTAAGAAAGAAGAATTACTAAATAATACCTAACGTGCTGGGTTATGAGTAAATTCTTGCTGTATATTACAAAGTGCAAACAAATTACGCATTATAAACAGCCACAATTAGAGACTCGCAGGGTGTTCAGACAGTGCATGGCAACGGAATTTAAATTGCCTGTCGCAACTATTGTCTCAGATTGCTTTCAACAAAAACACGAAATAATTGTTAAATGTCAAACGCTGGGAAGCGCTATTTATCAACAATATAATAAAAGTGTATTTAAAACAAATATATCTGCGTATAATACATATAATATAAACAAATATGTACTCAGAATATCTCTCATTGAGCGAGAGTCGCGGCGGAATCAGTGAGGCGTGGCAATGGAATTTAAATTGCGTCGAACTATTACTAACTTGGTACGCACTAAATAATGTAGAAATATAAAATCTACATACACTGTATTTGTTAGAAATAGAATTGTAAGAACTGTATTATATACAAGAATGTATAAAATGCCGGCGTGCACGTGAAATATAAATTGCGTCTTACCCCCATGGAAAATAGAATGTAAATACAAATTAATTAAGCCTAGAAGGGGTATATGCTCGTTAGAAGTGAAACAGTTGTGTATTGTGGACAAATATAGGAATATCCTCAAGAATACGGGATAAACAGTATAGGAACGGCGAGATCAGGCAAGCGTGAAGAGGATTTAAATTTCGTATACCTAGAAAAACTTCGCAACGAAAAGGTCGCAGAACACTAGCTTACGTAGGAAACCTTCTCTATATATGTCACAAATTAAAACGATATGTAAAGCGAAAGTTATGCTACTAGCTTATACTTCACTGGGGTTATGTTAGCGTTGACGTATATGGTTATTTGAATAGCGTCTTCTGCATAGTTATCGCAATACAATTATTGTATATTCTCAATACATATTATGGCAAAACTGAGACAACAAGAAACTCAATAAGTTCTTTGCTAGGTTTCGATGAAAAAGCAGTGAAGGAACCCAGATACTCTTCACACAAGAAATGCATCATCATGCAAAGCGTACACGATCATTTCAATATACAAATCCCCTACTTACATTATACCATATATATTGTAACACAGTTGCAAATAACCCTATATACAGTATTACAACAAATTTCATACCTTGTTCTAACTTATGACCTTATTCCACAGCGCTGCGGTCAGTTATGATGCCTTGCGTTGGGGGATTTAATTAAAATTCTCTCATGCGTTACAGACTAAATCTTTTGGACAATACGCAATAAATATAATCATGCAAAGAGTACACGATCATTTCAATATACAAATCCCCTACTTACATTATACCATATATATTGTAACACAGTTGCAAATAACCCTATATACAGTATTACAACAAATTTCATACCTTGTTCTAACTTATGTCCTTATTCCACAGCGCTGCGGTCAGTTATGATGCCTTGCGTTGGGGGATTTAATTAAAATTCTCTCATGCGTTACAGACTAAATCTTTTGAACAATACGCAATAAATATAATCAAAGGCACTTAAAAAAGCCACTTGATTCAATGTCGACGGAAATCATACAGTCAAACACATACTCTACGTCAAACTATTTAAGGATTTGAGTGCTGGAAACGCGCTTTATAATCTAGATATTCTATAGTATTGCTTCAGAAAGGAATGCTTGCATGTAGATAGGCTCGTCATGATCGAATGTGTGCTATAATCGCTATAATCAAAGTCATGAATAGTTTAACTATAGATTCGCATGAGCGCGCGACGTAAGAGTCACGAAATTTCTGTGATGCAAATTATCGAGTATCCTTCAAATTGCATTATCAATCTGACAATCCTGAAGATAATCTCTTGCCTGTCCGTGATCTGACAGATGAACAGCCCTTGTGTAAACATAAGGCATTCCGTGACTGATTTCATCCTCATGGGCGATGGGGAAGATGCATGTATAGTCACGGACACTTCGCGAAATATTCGGGGGGAGGGGGGGCGAATTAGGTTGTCAGTATACGACTACTTGTTGTAACTGTGAATCTTAGTTCATTAAACTTTTTTGCCTTGAAGTTCAGGCAATATTTGGCTTATATCACTGGAACAAATCATGCTTGATATTTTCTTGATCTCCAAAAACAAGGATGATTTATCCGCGTTTATACAGCCAAATGATCAGACGACCTGTAATCAGGTTAGAAAAGTGGTTTAACTGGTAGTGCATGACATAATCTGGGCTACATTCATAGATATCTTACATACACTAGATAGTGCATCTAATTATTCTGCAATTCAAAAATTGAAGCCGTGATTGCAGTCTCAGGTCGTTCCCATGAAATGAGAAGATTCGTATGTTTTCTATTTCTTTAACAGGGAACTTAAACTTTAAGTTAACCCTATTCCAAATACATTTTTAAACTATTCAAATGATGAAAGTTATTGTTGTTTTTAAGCGTTTATTAGCAAGTGGGAACGACCAACATGGTCGCCATCTATTCAAATGGGGGTAACCGCTGAAATATTCTTGGCTTCAATTTTACTACAAGAGATGCGCTATCTAGTGTATATAAGATATCTATGCATGGCTACATTCAGTTAATCTGGTTGGATTACTGTGGTTTTTCAAAGTTTGAGTAGCGTAATTCAATTCGCTGTTAATATAAACATATTTTAATAGATTTTTTTTTTTGCATTTGCCCAAGAGCACAAAGGCTCATCTATGGGGCTCACACAACATTTACATATATATTTGACAACGGTATGGAAGAGAATATAACTTCTTTTAATCCAGATAACATTTCTGGTGAAAAATGTCTTCAAATTAATAAACAAGCTGTCAGGAGGTTTGATCAGTTCCCCCTGCTGGTATATAACCATTATGAATCAAGTCCACACCCTGGGTGCCAGAGGTTTTCAGGTTTTTAAATGTCTTGAGACATTGTCTGGAACCCAGGGTACAGCCGCTCAGAAGATCTCCTCCCAGGTTTTTTGATGAAATGTGTAATTTCATTGTCCTTAACATAAAAGCATTTGTTGAACTTGTTGAATAATAAAATCATTGTTCAATAAAAATCACTGTTCCGAAAAGCTGCATATTATCAGTGAACATTGGTCACTCAGAATCAAACCTCGCACGCCAGGATGTTTATCACCGCTGTCAGCTACGACGCTGAGCGGAGCCTGGCGTGGGGGTTTGCTGATAGACCAAGCCCTATACAGGTAATAAAATACTATATGATAGCCACATTGTCGCACAGTCATGCTGTTAGTTTTGTCCAAAGTCAGTCTCTATGACTAATAATATTTAGCTTTGCGCGTCGAAGCCTCGTAATCCGCCTACACCCAACCTCAAAGCATATAGCGACTTAATTCACAGCGAGTGCACACCACCCTGGTTAATTAACCTCAGTTGGTTGGACATCGGCGTATGAAGAAGCTCATGGCTTCAAATCCTGACTGGACCAACACGCACTGGTCAGAGTCTTATAGGCCCAAGTTCAATTGTCGTACTGTTGACAGGGTGGGTTAGTCACATAGGTTAGGGGGCAGATCATTAATGAGGTATGCACTAATAGCGGCTGCTTAAAGCGCCATTTGTAAGCTCACAGTCTACATCGGTCTGCTCTAATATAACCAGTCACTGAAAAACCCTGAGAAGGGAGTGTGCTGAGTAATGTACCGGGTGGCCCAAAAAAAAGTACTCCTGTTTGATTCGTAATAACTTCTAAACAAGTAAAGTTTTTAAAGAGAAATAACTTGCATTAAATAGAGGAAGGACTGACTTAGATTTTGATATATTACAGTTGTATTTAACTTAAAAATTCACGGATATATTAATGTTAAAAGTGGGGAGCATATTTTGGAATGTGTCTAAAATTAGCGAAAATTGGCATATCAAATATTAACTCCAGCGTTTGTTTGCTTAATGACATATTAGGCTAACTTGTATTTCAGCGAATTATCGTTAAGGTTTGTAAGGGATATGGCGTAGATTTAGACATCTTACATGTAAGTCTTAGCTCATTGTTTCCTGAAATATGAACGTTCGAAATTATGCAAGTATTTAATATTAGGTCTTTGCAAACTTAAATGTACATGAAAGACTGACCATGGAAGGCAGGCGCTTAAATTTTTCGTGTTCTTAAATAGCCTAATTTTTTTATGTTTTTAATGGGTTCAAACAGACTGAGTAGATTATTTCTCGGTTAGAGCAGGATGAATATTCTTTATTGAAGGAAATAATATTGCTTTTTGCAAATACACATCACCGTATCAACGCTACTATTTTGTTACGTTTTGTTCCAAAAATGTTGCATGTCTCTGGGGAGTTGCTTAATTGTTATGTCTTATGGAGTTGTAGGGTTTGATTGTGTTTCATATAATTCTCAGTTTACTCCATGAACTTGCCAAGATTAAGAAACGGCAAAAGAGTTTGGGTGTTCTTAACAAGATTTCAGAACGTTGCAGAAGTTAGAAGAGCTTCACAATTCCGTTGTGACAGCATGCCCTAATTCAGAACTACGAACTATCCAATGACGATCCTTCGCGATGCAGTGGTCTCATGAAATAAGGAAACGTATTCGTGCTAGGAACACACGCGAATTTCGGACGAATGAATCTTGCTTGTATTTTGTAGATATAATAATACTTTGTTTCATAATAAACAATTTGTCAAGTGTCATTTATTTACTGGTAATAGTGCATGTTTCAGTCGGGCAAATCTTGATTAATATTTGATACGCCGATTTTTGCATATTTCAGACACATCCAGAAATATCCTCCCGAATTTAAAGATTAATATCTCCGTGAATTTTTAAGTGAAATACAACTGTAATATATCAAAGTCTAAGTTAGTCCTTCCTCTATTTGATGCAAGTTATTTCTCTTTAAAAGCTATACTTGTTTAGATGTTATTACGAATCAAACAGGAGTACTTTTTTTTGGGCCACCCGGTATGTATGTGGCGAAATTAATGAACAATAGGTTTGACTCATTCACTCATTTGGTTCGACACATGACGAGCGCAATGTTTCGAAATATACGTTAACGCAAGGTGCTACCATTGGTTAAAAAGACTAAAAACTTGTAATTAGTTCAGATCTCTACTTCATCGTCGAAAAGCGTGTTAAAAACATGTTAAAGCTTCCGTCGTTCGGCTAAGGATGCAAAACATAAAAGCTGACACAATATCGTTTCTTAATTACTGATGATTTCCTAGGAGGTTTTGAAATACCCTTTTATCTTCTATTATAAATCTGGACGAACAATATTAATGTAACAAACATTACTATATTTAAAACCCAAAGATTTTGAATACTAATGAGCACTGAGTTGGGATGAATTCACGCAAAACAGACCTAAGTATAATCGCCTTACTTCAATACAGCTAACACTTCGAGAGTATCCGTTGACTGTTTCAAATATATTAGAAGTAACGACCCATTGGAAATTTTTAAAGAGACTTTCAAGATTCGGTGATGGCATCATAACATGGATCGCATGATTGATTTCTAAAATGGAAATCTTCCAAATACAATATATTTTACATACCACCCCCGGCACTCATGGCATGCAACACAAATACACATCATGTATTCGCAAATGCACGGAATGCATGGCAATAAGCTGAACATGAATTTGACTACAATCACTATGTTCGTCTTGTTGTTTTGTCGCTAAGACTACAAGCAGATCTAAAGTATTTTCAAAAATCATTTGACGCACAAGCAATCAAGCAAAGACAATAATGGGAACAAGTTGTGCTAGATCATACTTATGCTTAATATTCTCAGAGCCTTTAAATACCCAACATTTGTGGTCTCTAAATAGCATTCAGGCCTCAAAATACCCAACAATTAAGATGTGCTACATCACACTTATGCTTAAAATTCTCAGGCCTTTAAATACCCAACATTTGTGGTCTCTAAATACACTGTAGCGTTCTGGCCTCAAAATACTCAACAATTAAGATGTGCTAGATCATACTTATGCTTAATATATTCAAGCCTTAAAAATACCCAACATTTGTGGCCTCTAAATACCATTCAGGCCTCTAAATACCAAACAATCGCTTCTATGATCAGAATATATCTGCCTAAAAGTCTGATAAAACGTCACATAAGACGAAAAAGAAATCAATCTATTAAAAGACTATAATTAACCTTGCAATTAGGTTTAGGTTTAATTAGTGTTCTTTGAATGAGTGTCAATCAGATCTATTTGCCCCCACCAGGAGCAGATGATATCATCAGCTATTTTCTATTTTTCTTTCCTGTACGCCACGCTATTTCATGATCGAGTAACGATGCTTACGACCTTTAGTTATCACAATATCGACAGAGTTATTCATTGTCTAACCGGCATAATTTAGTTCTCATCTTATCCTATAGTTCACCAAAATACTAAATTGTTACCACAAAGTATACGTAAGCACATTCTACTATATTTATGCTGTTCCAAAATAGGGTTTGTTTCCCACTATCGACAGCTTAAGACAGCAATAGATAATAGTCCCACCACTCTAC